GATTCCGAGAAATCGTTTCCAAATATCTGCGCGAAACGTAGTTTGTGAGCAAAGTTACGCGATAACTCTTAAAATGGAAATTGAAAAATTCGCTGGCACGTCATATAGATGAGGATTAGCTTGAGAAGGCTTTATAAAAGTATTGCCCTCGATTATAAAAGGATACATTAAACGGAGATTTGACTTAACAGGCTTTTTTAATTCGTTATTTGAGTATTTCTAACTTGTCGTTTCGGACTGTGCCAAGTTTTAGTAAATTCGTAATTAGTAGTTTAGTTCCCACACTTCCCACTAAAGTTTGACGACGTATATGAGATAGAAAGATATGAATAAAGATATAAAAGAAGATATAAATGATGAACGTGAGAGAAATTAGTGTTAGGCACAGAAACCGTTGGAACGCAAGGAAGTGTGACCACCATTCATTGGCATCGACGAATTTCTTTCAGCTCTCCCGTTACGCTCAGAAAAGTACGAAGAAAGAAGTAACATTTGTCATTTTGGCCTTTTGGACTCTATGATAAACGACTTCTCGGAGTAATATGCAAATACTAGACATAATTTTAAGAGTAATAATTTTATGTAAATTAACTAATAAAATACAAAAGAGTGTGAACTCTTGGGAAAAGAGAGGCGAGTCTTCTGAATCTGTCAAATATATATTTGACGTTTTCCTTCATCGAAGAAATAACATGGAACTTTAAGATTTAAGAGTATGTTCAATGGATGATCTCTAATCGCGAGTATATTTCGTAATTTATATGAAATTGATTTAAAAAATCGGAAAACGATACAAAAATTAGCGCACGTAAATTCGTTTGATGCAATATCGAACATAAAGACGCATACTAGAGCGACAAAGAACCTACATCTGTCCGATAAAAAGTTGCAAACAATGTTGTAATTACCTGCGAGAGTTATCGAACATTTACTGGCGCGAATCCTCGTCGCGAGACAATAAGACAATCGATTAACAACGAGCACTCCAAAGTATAGTGATGGACAGAACGATTGCGATACTTTTTTTAATGAGTTTATCAGGAACACGCATTCAGATTCAGGTTTACGTTCGAAAACATTTTGTCTGAGGAAAATTTTACTTGAGGAATAAGTCAAAAACGTTCAAGATGGTTTCGGAATGGCCGTCGAGTAAAATATTCCTCGCTCTCTAAAAGTCAGTGCATTATCACTGAAAACAGTTACAAGTATAACACTGAATAATTCAGTGCTATTTACAACTGTGAATCAGTAAATTCACTGTTTTCAGTGATAATCCAGCTATTGACTTTTAGAGAGCGGAGAAGATTTTGAAACGCAATCCTGAATCTAATGCACGTTCCTAAACGCACTAAAAAAAGTGTCGCCACCATTTTGTCCATCATGAATTTCGGTCGACGTATCAACCGCGCGCAGCTTTTCCTTCGGGCAGCAGTTTCGCGGACAAATATACGATAAGATTGTAGACAGTCTGGAAACATGATTCGCTGAACTGTTGAAAAGATAGAGAGCGGCGGAAGCGTACGGTTACGAGGATTATCGGTTACTGTTTTTTATTGCCCTTTCCCCCGCGGAGGACCACCCGTGGTATGCACGCTGATTAGCTCCCGGAACGCACTCGACAAAGATTAAACACGTAGAGAGCTAAAGACCTTCATTCTGTTACTTCTTACAGTTCACTTTCCATCGCTACCTCTGTAAAAGCATTGATAAACAGATGCGTTTTGATAGTACAGAGCTGAATGAGTCTATCTATTTTACACGCAGCTTGTAAGTTTCCATTTATTTCGAATACCGCATTCAACTGTGAGAACTGAGCGCGCGTTGGCAAGTAGGAAATTTCAATCAAGTCGCGAGTTCTTACTTCTGCAAGCATTTTTATCGGGGTCACCGTGACTAAGGTCGGAATAATTGGAGCACGAAGCCTGTATTTTTTCAACCGTTGATATCGCATTTAAATAGACGCAGAAAAATCAGTACAATTTTCTCCCGAATAATTATGTATATCCTTCGGCGATGTATTTTAGAGGCATGGCCGTCACACGTCCACGAACAAAACGTACGTACCCGTGTGACCAAGATAAAAAAAAATAAAAGTATAAAAGTGTAAATAAGATAAGAGAAAGAGATAAGATACAAATGGAAGTTTAGATACAGGTATACATTCGTCTATATATCGAACAAGTTGTTCGCACGCGAATTTATTTTTGCTACCGAGTTCTCGATCCCTACAATAATGATTCGCTCGGTGAATTGCAGGCGAAGCGTTAACATCGACGGACCTCTCTCATTTCTGCAATCTCCGGGATCAGTCTATAGAACCGAGGGGAATCTAGTAACTACATGCCACAAGTGGCCAAGCAACCGTGCCGGATAGTATAGACGTAAACTTAATTCTAGACTTGCGGAAATCGTTTACTTGTAAAGCAACCTATAGGATGAATTAAAATAGATATTTTTAATCAACGAACGTGGCTTCTGAACCTATCACACTTTATTCGCTATCATCAGCTTTTTCGATATTTTATAATTTTATCTAGGTATAATCTTTAGGGAGTATCTTAAAAGCAAGATACAAGAGATCGTAAATTACCGAGTCGAGACGAGAATTTCTAAAGTTTTATCTAATTTCTAAAGTTAGATCGTTACGCGGCTGAAAGCTGCGTCAGTAATTAAACTTTCGATAAATGGACTTTTTTTGTCAGCAAGCGGAGCATACGATGATATTGTTTAGAATCAGTCGGCTCTTAAATCATGGGAACAATTATTCCACGATACGACTCGCGATACAAAAGATTGCGTGAGATCTTTGGCCAGTGCTGCCTCCTTTCTGACTTCCGTTTGTGCTCAACATACGGCAAACGAGTTTTACGTCCCGGTGCATCCAAAGGGTTTCACGCGGCGCGATTATCTCCATCTGAGGCCGGGATTCGATTCTGTACCGCTGAGTGAATCACAGAAAAGAGAAAGAGGG